GGGCGTGCGGATCAGCTGTCTGTTTGCAACCTTGGGAAAACTGTCCCTGGTTGGTCCCCAGGGCCGAGTTCCCAGTGAGGCGGGATGCTCCGTGTCAGGAGTTCGGGGGTTTTGCGGGCAGGGACATGCCCTCCCTGCCCGGCCGCCTGTTCATACGCCAGAAAAATGGGCTGCGTGTGCCGCCAGCAAAGCCAGGAGCCGGGGAAGCGCAGAGCTTTCCACTGGCATTTAAATAAGTGCATGGAAAGGATTCATTCCTGTGGGAGCGCTCCCCTCGTAGCTGACTCTTTGGGAGTCGGATGTGGGTTGCATCTCTTTGGGGATGAAGCCACCCTGTGAGATTGCCTTGCCAATGCCTTGCTGGGGAATTTGGGGCTCCGAAGCAAACCCTTGCCCACAGGGGGTCGGGGACTGGTTTGTTCCAGCCGTCCCCAAGTCCAGGCTCGGTTGGAGGTTGGATTCCCCATCCGGCAAGGACGGATGTTGCCGAGCGCAGCCATACGCTGGCAGGGGGGCGCTCCCACAAACCACGGGCTGACGAGCTCGAGCTTGACCAGGGAGGCCGGGGCGAGCCCCACCACCGCCCGCTCTGTCAAGAGACTCGCCACAACCCGGAGGCGTGAAAGCTCCCGCGCACGCAAGAGCCGTGGGGCAGCGGGCTCACCGGCGCTTTGGGGATTTTCCACTCCATTTGACAACCTTTGGTCCCTCCAGGTGCCTTAGGATGGGGCTGGGGTGGCCCAAGGGGCCAGCGGTGGTTGTGGGGAGAGTGCCTGCCCCCAGTGATGCCCGGCCACCGCCAGCTAAAACCCTACAGCACACACACCCACCCTCCCGATGGCTGAGCATGGGGGTGCCCCTGGCCGCTGCCCAGGATGCAGGGGTCCAGCCCCCCTACCTTTACCCATAGGCAATGACTCACCTTCCCATTTTCCCTATTTATTGCAGGGGGAAAAGCAAATCGGCATGAGGATGCTCCATCCAGAGCCACCTTGCCCAGCGGGGGAGTGGGGAGAAGTGGAGCTCTCCTTGGGAAGGGGGATGAGCCCCTCACGCCTCCATCTGGAAGCAGAGGTCGGAGCCCACCATGTGCTCCTGGTAGTGCCGGTCGAAGCGCTCGTTCTGGGCTACGGTGAAGTGGTTCTTCCAGTCCCCAGAGATCCCTGGGGGCAAGAAAACAAGTGGGGCAAATCCTGACACCCTGACATACTTGCAGCCTCGGATGGGGGCTGCAGTACATCCCGGGAACCCCCCTCCCAAGCCCTCTACTGCTGGCCGAACCCCACCTTTCCGGAGGAAGGGGGAGAGGCTGTGGTCCATCAGGGCGGTGGGCATGGTCTCGTAGTTGGCGGCAGGGTTCTTCCTCATCTCCTGGAAGGAGGTGTGGTGGAGGATCCTCGCCACCGTTCCCTCCGCCACCTCCTTGCCCAGGAAGCGCAGGATCTTCTGCACCTCTCGCCGTGGGTCCTGCGGGGCGGATGACACAGGGAAGCTGCCAAAAAAGCCTGGAGGGGGTAAGGGGGCTGACTTCCCCTCCGTCCCACCCTCACCTTCTTCATGTCCTCGTAGAAGAGGTAGAGGAGCTGCTTCTCCTGCTTCTTGTCCCACCAGCCCCGCACGTGCTCGTACCAGGACCCGTAGGCCACTGCGGGACGCGGTCGAGGCGTTAGCCGAAGGGCAGGGTGGCAGGGGACACCCTTCCCACCGGCGTT